ATGTACTTTCCGCTTGATGGCATCTCAGGGTGTATCAGAATATTCTGGCAAATTCTAATGTCTCAGCACAACACATAACACATGACGACACAGGACGTGGCGGAAAGCAACCATCTACAAGGCCAAGGCTGTTAGGGCAGGGCCGGAGAAGGTCATCCCACGAATGTCCGTCTTCCTGACAATTTCGTTGTAGATTCTGCACGCAAGATAAACACTGTTAATGTTTAACAAAAAGTCGTAGAGAAAAACATATCTTTGGTCCTAAAAAAATCACCAGACCAGTATGCAGGGAGTACTCCACCCCATACGAGCATCAGTATGGGAAAGGTTAAGTAATATGAAAAAATGCAAAAGAGAAGCTGACGACCGTTAACAATTACACGTCAACCAGAGCCAGAGAAGATTCAGCCTGGTATTCAGGGATCTATGGTAATGGAAAGACACAAAGCAACTCTGGAGGGAGCAGAAGCTCGCTTCTTTTCGTGCAGTCATTGTGACCGATGTTTTTGGGCACGTTCTGAGATAGAATTCACCCTCGTGGGCCTTTGCTTTGTATCATATGAAAAGGTGAACATTAACACGGCTGACGTGTGTCTTTATAATAATTACATGAATTTCCTCAAGTTTAGCAAATGAAGGATTTGAAAAAGAAAATCAAGACGGCAATTAATTGTTTAGCCAACATCACAGCCCTCTGTGACGGAACAGTTCCAGCTACAACTGTAGTCGTTTACCTCCAACATGACCACTCCGGCACCTTCACTAAATCTAAGCATATTTATTTTGTTTTCCACGATATTCTAAGTAAAGACCCAGGGACCACGCTTCTCAACTGGTGTACACCTTTTAAATCTAGGGTAAAACAATATTACTAAAGCATAGACATTGAGCGAAATGCTTTTTCAAAGAATTTGAGAGGAGCAGCATCACTGTAAGACAATGTAGTAGGTTACACAAGTCGAGAACGCTTCCGAAAAATTATGAGCTTATCCCTAAATTTCTCTTGATTTCTGAAAACAAAATTTGTAGAGTGGGTAGGTAATGTTTTGCGAAAGCAAAGTCTAGTACCAAAAGTCTGTCGCTTCAGTATCAAGGCCAAACTAATAAATGTCGTTCTTTTTAAAATTTATGATGCTTTTGGCCTTATCGTGAGATTAACAAAATCATAGCTTTTAATAGAAAGCCAGGGACTAAGAGATATCGAAATATGTTCACACGAGTTATCACGTACACAGTACAAATACATTCGTTTCAGACTGCAAACATTCTTTTATTTTTGCTTGCTACCCCTGACACCTATTCCTTTAACTTTAAGGACTTAGGGGCGCACACATAATTTGTCCGAACAAGGACAGACCAGAAGACATTTTGCCGCGAATTTAAAACCATCGAATGGAAATCGGAAACAAGAATTTGCATGATTCAGAGCTTGAGTGATGTTGCCTGCCATTTTAAGTTCCAGGTAAAGGAAACAGAACTGAACTGAACTATCTGCATGGAAGACTGAGATGTGATTTTCTCTGTTCGAAATGCCCCTAAACAGAGTGTCCTCATTGTTATTGCCATTCTATCAACTTACAAAAGCATGTCCTTTTCCTGGATATAAAAATGTAATTCTTGAATACTTTAAAGGTTAGTGAGTTTTGATTTCAGTATTGGAATGTTTCGTTGGAATCAAAATAGGCCATTTTTTCTGCCAGACAAAGATTTCTCCTAGCAGTCTGTACCTGGGCCACGTCTGCTCCATGAATGAGGGAAGATGTTATTATGTTGTAAAAGCAATCGATGCACGAAGTGGGACAAAATAGAGAAAGATTTTGAACCCCAGAATTGATCATGCCTACTTAAATCTAATTCCCCGAGTCGAACTAAAATGTCGTTCTATGAGTACAAAGCGTTCATTGGCCGTCTTGTTTGATAAAAAATGTCTTTATTCAAAAAATTGATTCGTTACTCTTACCAGTACGATCATACTGGCAAAACTTTTTGAAGTTGGTTGGCAATCGCCTTGTTTTTATTACTTTTCAAACAGTGGGGACTTGTTCAAATAAATCGATTAGCAACACTTTAGGCCACATTTCGATGCAGCAGATAATAATAGGGTACACAGTGTCACGAGGAAACCCCCCACCATCAAAATGTGCTATTCGTACTATTTAATGGGGCTTTACTTTCTTAAACGGTGTTGACAAATGTAAGCACCTTTCATCGTCATCATGTGTTTATGGTTTTCCGGTATGTAATTTCTACTTTGACTATATTGATCGTTCCGTATTTTCTCCAAATTTGTAGCTATGGAAAATGAAACAAAAAATTATGAAGTAAACCATCTTAGAATTTACTAATATCATTAAAATATCCCAAGCGTCTTTGTCTAAGGTGTATATTGGCATATCCATAAATAGAGACCTCGTTACTATGTAAGGAAAGTACCTTAATATCATATTATAAGGACGAAGCAGAAGCAGGTGGATGGGGACTTCTGAAGCTAGAAGAACACATTTTATTTAAAGTTAGAACAACTCTGAAGTACGTTCACTTACAATATTGTTATCCAAGTGAAAACATGTACTCTCAATGATTTTAAATATAAAATTACTTACGCTTTCTGAGTACGCCTATGCTTCTGATTTTCCGAATCAATGATCAACAGGCCTACATGCTCTCTAGTTTGTGTGCAGCCTTGGGTTGTCTTGTAATCCCTTGATTTGTATTTTATATGTTCGGTTTATTGTGGGATATTCTCGTTGTGTCTTCATATTTTCCTTTTTCTTTAGTTAGTTCACAAAGCTATGTTGTTGGGCCTTTTTTTTGTCTTGTTTGTTTGTTGTTGTTGTTTTGTTGGGGGTTTTAAATTAAATTTTAATTTTAATTTTAATTTTTTCATTCATTTTTTTTGGGGGTGGGGGGTGGGGGGTAGGGGAGGCGGTTCTTCTTTTTTCTGCGTTTCTCGTATATAAATATTTATCTTCATTTGTTCATTCGTGTCACTATTTAGCTTCGTGGTAGACTAGTAGTTATGGTACCAGACTAGCAAGCTCATGAAATTTCGGATTTGAAGGTTCCAGAACCAGCTCAGTCCGAGATTGTGTCCATGGAAAAAGACACTTTTCATGAATTTTTCATTTCGCTGGATCATATTGGAGACAGAAGTTGAATTTGGAGTTCTCGCCTCCTAAATAATCTGATAGTATTGTCAATGACGTTAAAAACTTGCACAGTTACGAAATTTCTTGATTTTCGTCTTCTGCTAATTAAAAAACGAAATAAAATGGAATTAGGGAAAATAGCCCATAACAAACAAACTATATTCTCTGTATTGTCTTTTTTTTGTTCATGCGCTTGAATTCCATATATTATTATAATGTTCTGTTTAGAATTAAACTAGTCAAAATACACAAAAAACCAACAACCAACAAACAAAAAGCTAACAAGCATATTTCTATATATTCTTTTGTATAATATTACAGCGATTTCGCTTTTAATTCCAGTCCATTCAACAAGGGAATTAACCATGCATAACTTCAAGACCAACAACTCGTGCCAGACGATAGAACTTGCTTCAGACGTCGGTCTGGTGAGCGATGACGTCAAACTCCTCTTCCAAATGGTGAATTTCGCCATCATCTGTCAGATCATCGACGTCTTCGGCACCGTCACCAACATCATCAACATCATCGTGTTTGTCAAGCTAGGATTCAGTGACCCCGTCAACGTCAGTCTGCTCGGTATGATGGTCGGTCGTTGACTGCTGGTGTGTTTATGGTTGCGGTTCGGTTTGCTTAGATCTAGCTCTTCGAAAACACGCCTTCTGGTTGTCCTTCGGTAACATCTGAAAACACGCTGATTTGGGGCACTTTAAAAAAAAGAAGCATACCTTCATTTTACGTACAGATGATCTGAAACATTAAAAAACCCAACTATAAAAATGTGTATATTATGAAACAGGACATATTATCTACCCGCTTGTCCCTATAAAAGCTAAGATGATATTTCGATGTTTCTACAGGTCTGACCATCTCCGATCTCGGGTGTCTGGTGACTCTCATCTGGCACAACATTTGCTATAATCCCCTCTTCAATGAGATGGACCTTCCATTCGATCCTATAGACGTACAGGTATCTGATTCTCTTAATAATATTCGCTGAGGGGAAATGTATATGATGTGAACTCATTTCTTTTCTACTCTTGAAAGTGAATAGATAGATAGATAGATAGATAGATAGATAGATAGATAGATAGATAGATAGATAGGTAGATAGATAGATAGATCATTTAGGAGATTGGCTTCGACCCTGCCTGTCAGGGCTAACACCGACTGGGAGGGATATAACATGCCAGCAGAAAGACCGAGGTACTCGATTAAAATTCTCCCCACATGGGAATTAAACTTGAGTCTTCTGCATGAGACATTGTTGCGCCAAACAGCTATTCTTCAGATGCCGATAAAGGAGATTTAATTTTGAAAAAAAAATATTATGCTCGTAACGTCTCTCCACTATGGCTTTCTGTTTTTACATGTATATGTCTGCCAGATTGTGGGATAGCTTTAATTTTGCACTATATTATACATTTTGTACACTTGGATACAGTTCA